GTGCTTTTAAGTAAGAGATACACACAAAAAATTGTGATTGATTGACTATTCCTTCTTTGTCTTCAATTACTTACACAGAAAATAGCATTAGGAAGTTTCTCAGAGGCTGGAGCATAAATTTCAAGCACTTCTTTGTAGCTCAACAATGCACGCTGGCTTAGTATTGGCGGAGTGAAAATTTGATGAACGCATTTCGACAATTTGAAATCAGAGAAAAGATGCATATTTCTAGCATTTAGTTTCATAACCTGTTTTTTGACAGAGAAAGATTTCGAAAATCCTTGTGTAAAATTTGCATGAGCTCTAAAATTTGGTCAGCGCATTTTATTCCCGGTTTTGATATCGGGATGCTGGACGCTTCAGTTTGTATGACGCAAAGTTTGCAACGGTATGCGCAGTGTTTCGCTATCGCACAAATTTCGTCGTTTTCAGTTGTGAGAAAAGTTTCTTAAGAAGTTAGAAATGTTCTAACGCTTTTAGAAATAGGAATGTTAGGGTTGTACTGATATCCTTTTTTCCCCGAAAAAAGTGTCTCTTAAGAAAACGGATCACGCAGTATACATCTGCCGTACTAAATAAATAAAATCCAGAACTCACTATGAGTTTTCATGTGGGCAAGTGCAGTATTTTGTACCTGATTCTCTTTTGTTGTATAGTAATGTTATCTAAAATATTTTTATAGACTGAGCAGTAAGGCAACTTTTATAATCATACAGTAAGCAGCTTGGATTTTTAAAACATATATAATGAATGATGCAATATCCTAAAGCAATCTGCTCCATTCCGATATGAAGAGCATGTCGAAATACATATCGTTTAAAAAGAAAGCTAAGGAAATATTTTTTTCATACACACTTTTGTTTTGTTTAGTTACTATAAAGCACTTGAGGATTATGTTAATTTATCTAATAGTTAAATTTGGTGTTAAAGTTCCTTTCCTGTCTTCCTGAATCTCAACTTACAACTTCCGGACAGAACGTAGTCTTAGAATCGTGTCTGAATGAAAATGAAAAGAAGTATTTAATCGTGAAGTTCTACTGACTTCGTTAGAGAGAACGAGTGATTCTGACTAGCGCACGTTCGCCTTCTTAGGCTATTCTCTCTTAAGCTATTATCACGCTGGGCCGTACTTTAGGCCCTTGATAGCTTCGCCATTATTCAGCATTAAGAAGCCAACACTGTTAGAATTCTCTGTTAGAATTTGGCTAGATATTTTTAGTTAAGATTAGTTTAGTTCTTAGTTTCCTAAGTACAAACCCGAGTGGCGGCTTTATTGTAAAACTCCAAGACGGAGTTCTGTTACTTTATTGGAATAATAAAGGGTAATTTCACCCTTTTTACGTATTGTTCTCTACCCGAAGAACTCAAGCAATTATTCGCTGATCAGTTCTTAAGATTCTTCAACTTCAACTGTAACTTAAAAGTACACAGCACAGAATCTTAAATGCTATCTGTGTAAGTGGATAGTTGGCTTAGTGGTGGACTTTCGAACAGAAAGTGGCACGTATACGCGTTCGCGTTACAACTGGGGAAAACCACAAAAACGGCCATGCAGCCAATTCGTTCATCGGATTCGTACCCCGGCCTGAACTACCAATGCTCAGTGACTTTACCGCTCGGCTGCTGGTGGGTCTTTCATAGACATTTATAGAAGTGGATTTCAAAATATTTTATAGAAAACTGAAGTTAAGTAGATTCATTAGTATTAAATATCTGTTGAATTTAATTTTATGGGTGGAGCAAATGACTTAGCAGTAAAAATAAAAATTTATTACCAAGATGAATTTCTTATCATTCCCTGAATTTTACGGGATATATAGATTTCGCTTTATATTTTCCATGCATAGTTTTTTTTATAAAGTGTGTTTTATAATATATTATATAGTATTATAAAGTTTACAAGTGTGCCACCAGAAAATTATAATTTCTTAAGACACAGGTTTAATGAAAATGAAATTTGGTGAGGTGATCTAAATCACAGGTTAAGACACACAGTTATAATCTTGTAAGTTTCACTATTTTACCCAAATGGGAAATTTTTAGCAGTTACTGCCATTAATGTATCAAAAAAGTAATTTTGAAGGATTCTGCTGTAATTCGTTAAAAATTCGTTAATTAAGAATTCGTTTATTTTCCATTCAGTAGTCTATAGAATAGTATTCAAACAATGGGTTACGATCTCAAATGGGGGCCACAAAAATTTATAATAATTTCAAAATGTGAAAAAAAATAATTAAAATCTGAAAGCTTACAGATTTTATATTGCGGCCAAACTGCCTTTGGTACTTACGTATTAACGCAACCAGGCCAACATTCGCATAAATCGCCAAATTTGGCGACCTTACTTACGGCAACCCTACGTGTTATACGTAGTTTTGTAAAAAGAATTTATTTGTAAAAAGAAAAAATGACACTGGGCGTGTACTACCACAGCAATGGGTTTTCGGCGGAATTTGCTGGGAAAAGAGACTTTTTTGGTTACTGTACCTAACAGAAGCGCCGTTACCCTCATGGAAAAAATTTGCGAAAATATCAAGGAAGGAAGCATCATTTATTCGGATTGCTGGAAAGGATACAATACAAGTGAGTTCGAAAATGCTGGATTTCTGCATGGAACTGTTAATCACAAATATAACTTTGTGATTCCCAACACGGGCGTTCACACACAACATGTAGAGCGCATGTGGCTCACCAAATGGCTCAACAAAAAATAGAGAGGAACAGCCCGTCTCATCTTGACTCATACCTTATCGAATTATATGGCGCCAAGTTCAAGCTGTTAATGGCGAAGACGGTTTTCAATCAGTGTAAAAAGCAATAGCCAAAAGATTTCCGCCGAAAAAATAATTTGCAACTTATTCAATTCGAAACCGGAAGGGTTTAATTGCTATTTTATATTTAAAAACAAAATAATATAAAAAACTGTATTAAAAATTATCTGTAATTAATAAATGTACATTTTCTTTCTATTCATACTTTTTTATGTCAAACTTACAAATCGCGCCAACCTGGTTGCGATAATACCTGGTTGCGATAATGCCCTGCCTTTCTTTCATTTACAGACACATACACGTTTCGAGAACATTTGGGCTAACGCCATATTGAGCTAAACATATTTAAAAACAGCATATCCTTAGAATTTCCGATAGACAGTCTAGCGCGCTCGCCATTTAAATGTTTCGTTCACTAGAGTGTTGCCAGTGCTGGTTTTGAAATTGTTGACTTTTTAATCAAAAACTCGCTTTACAAAACCAAAAGGTTTTACAAAACATAAAATAGACAATAAAACAAATTCCAAATTCGGGCTTTCAAGTGCCCACGTTCGGGTGGAGGACCCATGTTATTCAATACTTGATGACTCCGGGCACCTTTGTTTTTTCATAGTGCGAGAAACATACGTACATTCATGTAGATTCTTCATTATATAGCTTCTTTAAAAACATAATACAGGACGATAAGGTTTGGTGGCAACAATTTGAAAAGTGATACAGTCGTTTATAGTGATTCAACGCAAAATGCCGTTTCGAGACTAATAACCCTTCTGGGTTAACGCCCATTCGGACTAAAAAATCTGAATTGATGATATATAACTATAAGGTCGACGCTCTGATTAAGTTCGCGGTCTATAGCATTTGAAATTATCAGACTACGTATTCAGTACTTCATTAAGCATGTTCCCCAAGGCGGCCTGAAATTCACGTTTTACATGAGTTAAATCTTGCTTCAAGTTATATATATATAAGGAAGTATGGCTGCTGAACAGCGAAAATATTGGAAAGGAATTTTAAGAAATTTTTTAAGACACATGAATCTGTGTAACAGTGTGAAAATATTTCTTAAATATTATAATACGACTTTCTAGATTTTAAATAAAGAGTTAAGAAGCATTTTTAATACTTATTTACAAGCATAATTCTGTATATGCAGGAAAAGTACTGCCTTTAAAAGTGAGTTCCATGCTTGAAGAAAAGGAGAAAACTTTGAGACAGTCAGTGACATGCAGAAACCGTTAATTCGAAAAGTCCATCAATGGTAACTGAGTTCTTCGATAATTTTCCTCTGAATTTGGTAGTTATATTGGAACCTCGGATCTCGAACGTATTTTTCCCGACGAGTACGAATAAATTATGCACGGTGAGTACTCATGTATAAATTATCTGACCAAAAGACGTCTAAGATTAAAGGTGTCTCGAATTACGAGATGCAAGTTGGAAACAAATGATTTCCAAAAATGTTATCATCTAATATGCTGCCCAGAATTAACCTGAGGGAAGTCTGGAAACACCAGACACCTATGTTTCATATTTTCCCTTCCTTATTTGCATTAATAAAGTTCATTAAAGTGATTTACAAGATCATGAATTTTCCACGGGGAGAATTATGGCGAGAATTTTTTACAAGTTGGTACTTTGAGGGCTTTCACCCTGACTATATTTCTCTATCTAAGACATTGTGCGTCTGAACAAATCGCGGGTTTATATTTAATAAGCTATGGAATTACTAAAGCACCATAAAAATGAGCTCAGCGAGAAAGAATTGCAACAGGTTTAGAAGCAGTAATAAATATGATGAAATTCCTTCAGAGAAAAGAAAAAAAGATGATCTTACTACTTTGATCCGCGAAAGTTTTGGAAAATGGAAGTTTTCGTGCAGCAGATATCACTCCGATAATGCAGTAAATGTACCAGTAAATGTAAGCCCTTTCAGTTACAACGCCGTGTTTCACTTTAGAAACATTCTGAAGAACCTAATAAAAACCAACCATCATGCCCAAATTTTCAGTGAGAGAGAAACTCAGTCTGAAGCGGAACCAAGCGGCATTAAGAAATAATAAAAGATGTTTCAAAAACAGAATATCTTCTTTAACAATAGATGTAGAGAGCTGACATTCTTATATTAGTAGGAGACTCTTCACCAAAACAGTAACGTTTCTTTCCTTTCATTTGCTCTTCAGTTTACCCTTGCGCCGTCTGCTGTCTTTCGTACAAAGTAGGATAAAATCGAACTAAGTACATGTTTATTTTGTCTGCTTAATATTGTGTTTACCTTTTTTTTATTCTTTTAGAATAGTTGATTTGTACTGGTTTTGCATTAAGATTTTCTGCACATAAGATTTTCTGCACAAAGTAATGTTATAAAGTATAGATAAGCGTTCATTTTTGTGGTCCAGAAACGGATTTTACATTAATTCCTATGGAGAAAATAATTTTGGTTTGAGGGTATTTAGCATGATGAATGAAAAGTATTCAGGAAATAATTAAGTCCATGAACCGAGGTTTCATTAATTGGAAGAGAGATCACTTCAGTAACTGTTCACATGTATTCAGCAACTTTTCAGATTAATTTCAATCACTGTTCAGACTTCGGCACTTCAGATGAATTTTCCCTGCAAAATAACAAATTGTTTTATTAATGCATATATTATTTTCTTTATTAATATGAAAGGTAATATTGTGATTTTAAACAATAAAAAAATTACGATTTCAACAGCATTTTCTAAGAAATTTTAGGGTATTAATGACAAATAATTTATGAAAATGTATAAAGAAATGAGAATAGGAATCACAACATAACTTGATCGCATAAATAAAATTTGTAAAGTGTTAATTTATGTCTTATTCCTTTCATATGAGAGGTAAAACAGGAAGTAATTATTATAAATTCATTTAAATATCTGCTGATATGAAACAAAAAATTAAAAACAAAAGTGATCAATTTGAAAGTTTTCAGTAAAATTACTCATTTCTTCTTCAGCATCAATTTCATCTATTAAGTATCTATTGAGTGCCAATCTACAACCCGGCATTTCGTAGTGTTTACATCTTTTCATAAATGTTTTGGGGACATCTGCTCTAACAAAGTATGCTTAAGCCACAACACTTGGGTAGGAAGCATAATCTTAATGACTAACAGTTAGCAAAATTTTGTTCGGGGTTTGTTGTCATACACCTCAGGACATAAAATAATTTTCTCACTCTACGAATACATTATTTCTATAATTTACGTTTCCACGTAATCCTGTTTCTATAAACGCTTCGAATGAACAGTTAAGAACATCTGTTATTTAAATGTAATTATTAAATTTATCTAAATTTTAATAACCGTTAAATAGTCCAGTTTAAATTACCAATATAAAAGAACCAATATAAAAGAAGTGTAATTCACACAGGGCTTCTTTGTGCCAAAAACATAAAGGATATCAGTTATGGAAGTTAATGGACTGAAATTCTCAGCTATCTCAATTTTTTTTCTTTCCTTATCGAATGTTTTACATGTTAGATTGACTTAATATCACAATTTTTGCTTTCTTGTAGTAAGCATTTATAGTGATTTCAGAATTATACAATGTGCTCCCTCATTTTTCAAATATATTATTGATTTGAGACAGGGCACCTGTCCATTAAAAAATAAAGGTTAAAGTCGCGCAATTACGTTATCGCTAGTCAAAACGGTTAATAAATTCTCTTATTTATGTTTTGCATTGCAAAAGTGCGTTAGTTATTAAGGAATTTCCTAAAATTAGTTATTTAAAGAAAATTTATGTGTACTATTTAATAACATTTTTCACGTAACGTTTTATATATCTTTTGTATGAAAACTTATATGCATTTTAATATCCTATAGCATACGAAATGCAAAATTTCTAACCTCACTTTCTACTTTATACTTTCTTAGACTAACACGTTATTTAATTTGATCTGTGTTTTGGTAGCTCGCAAACTACAATCCCTTGCATACACATTATCTTTATTAATTTCATTTAAAATGTAAAATATATTTTCTATTTATTTTAGATTTCTTTCTTTAAGATATTTACGTTTAAAAATCAGATACAAAAACAATCTTTTAAAATTAAAATGTTTTAGAAGTGTTTCAGCATTTTTCAGATGCAGTAAATTTTCACTTTGATCTGTTGACAATTGTAGATATTTATATATTAAGAATTAAAACAGAATATTTACATACATCAGTAGGATTTTAGAAATGTTCAGTAATAAGCTTCCGTATGTTGTGTTAGATTTCAATGTCGAGGATTTAAACTGTGCTTTTATTTTCATTTTCTTAATTTTATATAAAATTTATACAAGTAAAAAGAATTGGTGCAAACCACATATTTCTGGAAAGAAAGCAATGGGTGCTATGAGCCTTGGTGATCAGTTATTCTCTGAGTGTATTGTAGTGTATTTCTCTCTAATTTGTGTCGTTATTCCTCTCCCCAAATATATAGATGTTTTTGCAAATGTTTACATGGCCTTTTCTAAATAACTATGGCTTTTTAAATACAGTATAATTCGAGTATAGTAACAGCTACTGCAATCGTTTATTTCGACGTTTCATTTACCTTTAATATCAATATACTTATCTAGTAATTTAAGGTCCTACCTGTTCCAATATGTGAGTTAAATATGCCACTCGCAATGTAGAAATTTCATTTTAAATACACTCTTTGTTCATATTCTTCACCGACTGATTCCTTCAATTTCTTGAAACGAAAAGCAAGACCCGTTTTCTAAAGAGAACAAAACATGCTCATTTTAATTTCTTATACCTTTACATAACTGACTAAAACAACTGACACACAGTAGTTGTATACAGATCTGAAATGTGCAATAATTTTTGCAACATGTATGTTTGTGTTTTGCTTAGAGATTCATATAGATTACAGAAGAAGATAAAGAATTTCGATATACAACAATTATATTCAGATAAAAACATTAAAGTACTTAAACAATGGTGTTTGTTGGTATTTGAATCCAAGTTGATTTTCTGGTAGGGCAAAACTTTCCGAACGTTGCTTAGAATATGTTCATAAATCAGTTTAGATTTGAACATATTAAGTCTGTTTCATAATAATATATCTCTATGGAAAGTTATGATGTTTATTATAAACAGGAAAAGACAAAAACCAATTGCAGCCTTGACGAGAATCGAATATTTCCAATCATTTGATACTTGAATATGGTGATTTTATTACTCGAATTATAGTGATGTTTATTTAATACTTGAGTTTGGTGACCATTTTATCACGAGCACACAGGAGAGGAATGCTATTTTTGTTTTTGGTAATCTGCTTAATCCTTTGACTACGAATTAAAAAAAAACATTCACCCGTTTTCTATCCAAGGAGAAAAAATATGTCATAAATAAAGTAAATTTAGCATTTGGGATTTTTTTGACAAACTGTTTTCAAGCCAAAGGCTGGGAAACATATGTCCTAGCCATAGTTAATGGTGGGATTCACATGTACCACACGTAGCGATCTAGTTACCTTAAGCATACCTATTATTCTGAAAAAAGTTATTATATGAAATAGATTTTGCATCGTATGGTACAGGGTAAAGCATTCTTTGCATAACTCAACATTATACCTTGAGCAACTCCTATTTATTCCTTTCTCTATGTTCAATTGTGTACGACGAGCATAGCGTCGTCTAGATTTTCAAACTATTGGAAGATGATTTCCAACTTTTTAACTCAGCAGTAATTTTTAAACTTTTAGTGGGACATATATGTCCCGTTAGTAGTCAAGCTGTTGATGGCAAGATGAATCGAAGGAAGCATAGTGGGCTAAATCAATATGTTAATGATTTTTTTTTTTACTAGGAAGGCATATTTTAGAAATTAAGAGGAGTTATTATTTTAGAAATTTAGAGTTTGGCGGGCACCGTAGTGATAGAATGCCTCTCCATGTTATATATTTTAGTATATTCTCATTAGAATTGATGAATTTGACCCTTGACTTTGCCTTTTCTACATTTTCGCCTTCGGGGAGCAGTGTGATTGCATTGTAATTTACTTAATTACCGCTAATGGTCTTAGGGCTGTAGGGTTTATATTTATTTTAACTAACATTTATTTTAAGTTTAAACAATCTTTCCTGTCAAGCCTTACTTTCCCCTGTAACTGCCAATGCCAGAGTATGTAAATTTTAGTAGAACGCGCAAGGATTCAAATTATCAGCGGAAGTATTCTGAGTTAAATAGAAAGGAAACGAGTTCGAGGTGTGCTGTTCTTACTTCACGAGCGCGGAGGTAGTTAGCCAGAAATTGAAGAACCCCGCGTTTCGGCCTGTGTGCTTGCCTGTTAATAGATTGTTAATTTTCAACGTGATCTTCAAAGTTTGCTGAATTAGCAGCGGTATTGTAAAACGCGGTGAGGTTAGTTACTTTTAGAGAGCCTCGTAGTTAAGTCTTGTCTTAGTTTCTTTTCAGTTTATTATTTTTATTTGACCGCCGAGTTGGCGTAGTTTGTGAGCGTCAAGAGCACGCACTTTGTAATTTATTACGTTGAATAAAAAGGACTTAAACCCTTAACAAGACTCGTCTTTTATCCAGTTTCAAACCGTCACCTCTTGGTTGCTGCAGTTGGAGGCGCGCAACGCTACATTGGCGCCCGAACACTTATCGAACTGAAATGGCCGAAAATTGGATGGAAGTTGCTGGAGAACACCAAGAAATGACAAGCCAATTGGAAGGATTCGGATACCTGGTCCAGACTTTGACAGCGTCAATCAAGCCAAACGTCAATTTCGACGGAAAAAATTCGGTGGCGATATTTCTAGAAGGCCTAGAAAATCACTTTCAGCTCTAACCCTGTGCCTGAAAGACAAAAGTTGCCATCGCCACATCCGCACTAAGGGACAGGCCGCGCTATGGTGGAAAAAATAGGCAAATTTTTTATTAGGGGATATTGGAAGCCAGACATATACATTTGGAAAATTTCAAAAAATCGTTAGTGAAGGCCTTCCCCATAGTGAAAGATCGAGCAAGGTGGAAGCTGAACTATATAGTTTCTATCAACGGAATATAGAAGAGTTGTCTGACTTTATTCTACGAAAATTAAGCTGACGGTATGCTGTATGGGAAGAAACCCGACGCGGAGATTATTGAAATAATCTTACCAAGATTGTTACCCGCTGTTCAAGACTACTTCGAAATTAGACCCCAAGCACATTGCAGGAGCTCTTTCGAATTGGCGGTGAAGTTTCAAATCGCAGAATAGCGGAAAAAGCTAGAGGGGGCAAATATTCTCAAAGTACCCGAAGAAATCTTCAAATGAGGAACCAGAATGGAAATCGCTCTTATGGGGCAAAGAGCTATCAAGCTAACTCATCGAAACTCGAAGGTCAAGGCCCAAAAAGAAAATTCGAAATAACCGTCCGCGTACCCAGAAGGCACGATTGAAAGGAAAGCTTTAAACGTAGAGAGGGCCTGTGAAAGGGAGGGTCCAGACCCGGAAGTTTTAAAAAAACCCTCAAAAAGACCATTTAAATACGGTCATCGTAAAAAACTCACATTACCAATTATACAAGTCCTGGTTGACGATGTACCAGTAGAAGCCCTCATCGATACAGGAGCAGAAGGTAATTTTATGAGTGATAATTTTTAAGAATTTTAATAGGTTTCGATTATTTAAAAATAAAAACACAGAAACATAGCAGCGCAAGGACAAACTTGTCATTGTATTGGAAACTATCTTAAAGATTCAAGTTCAAAACGAAAGCATTAAAGTATTAATTTTGTAGTAAAAAACTTGCAAAGTCCACTTATTTAGGTATGGAGTTTTTTAAAAGACGCGAAGGCCAAACTGAATTTTCAGGAAAGTTCTATCGTGCTTCAATAAAAAATTCAAAAGAACTTTTAAGGGTACGATTATTTAAAACCAAAAAACGGAAATTATAGCGGCGCAAGGAAAAACATGTCACGCATAGGGAAATTTCATTAATATACAGGTAAAAGAGGAAAGCCTCAAAGTTTAATTTTTGCAGTGAAGAATCTGCAAAATCCTATTTTAGGTATGGAGTTTTTAAGGGCCGCGAGGGCCAAATGAATTTTCAAGACAGTTCCGTGGTGCTGGAGACCAGGGGTGGTGAACCTGTGGAAAAACCGCAAGTGGACCTTAGCCATCTGAATGACCATGAAAGGCAAAGCAATACAGCAAGGTGAGTAATTTTTTAACTTGTTTTTCAGAAAAGCCGGGAAATTGTCAAATAGTTACGCATAAGATACAATTAACTGCCGAAAAACCTTGTAGGAATAAACCTTTATCGGTACGACAAACAAAAAGACGTAATCATCGAAGAACATATTCAGGAGTGTTAAAGAATAAAATAATAACGCCCATAAATAGTGAGTACGCGAGTCCAGTCGTACTATGTAGGAAAAAGGACGAGTTTCCTCCTTCGGATAAAAGGGCTTGGAGGTTTGCTATCGATTACAGAAACTTAATAGTATTACTAAATTTCCAGTTTACCCTTTGCCGTTATAGAGGAAATTATTAGACAGATCAAATCTAGAAGATACATGTCTACTTTGGACTTAACGTCTGGCTACTATCAAATAGCTATGAGACCCGAAGACATACATAAAACCGCGTTTATAACAAAATCGGGCACTTATGCATTTTTACGCATGTACCCTTTGGGTTGTGTGGGGCCCCTTCAACATTCCAGAGAGCTATGGGCATTGTTCTAAAGCCTGTCCTAGGAGAAATCGACTTTAATCTATCTAGATGATATAATTATAACGAGTAGTACGTTGGAACAACACATTAATGATCTAGAAGAAGTTTTTAAATTATTAAAAGAGGCCGGTCTTACAATTAACGCCTCAAAATGCAAGTTCGCAACTAAAGGAACTTAATATCTCGGTTATAAAATTTCGCAAAAGGGTATAGAACGCAAGATTCAAAAATAAAAGCCAATCAAGAATTTTCCACCGCCCAACACCGCCAAGAAACTTTCTTCTTTCCTTGGTTATGTTCTTACTATCGGTCTTTCATAAAAGATTTCGCTAATATTGTTGAACCACTCTTAGTAATCAAAGAAAGAGAGGTAAATTTACGTGGACAGCGCGGAAGCAAATAACAGCTTTTGAAAGATTAAAAGAAGCGCTTATCAATGCCCCTGTTTTTCAAAATTCCGGAGGGGACGAAAAACCTGGAAATTGCAGCAGATGCGTCAGGACTATGCGGTGGGGGCGGTTCTTATGCAAAATAGGCCATCCTCTGGCATTTTTTAGTAAAACGTTGAATCAGTACACAAAGGAATTATACAGCTACAGAAAGAGAAACATTAGCCGTATTAATGGGCTGTACACACAATTTCGAGTTTATTTCGGCATCGGCAAGCGCCAGTAACAGTCTTTTCGGATCATGCGGCTGTTGGTAGACTTTACTCGGGAAAAACCTAACGCCCAGGTTAATAAGATGGGCTTTAAAACTCCAAGAATATATAATATCAAATAAAATATAAACCGGGTAAGGAAAACAATGTAGCTGACGCACTTTCTCGTATAAAACTGGACGATGAAGGAAATGAACTTAAATGCGCTTTGTTTGACTTCAAAAAATTTTAGATTCTAGAGATACGATTATCACTGAACTGAAAGCTGATCCTGAATTTGGAAATATCTATGCGTATTTGAAAGACCCCGAAAGCTTTGAGCACACAGATATCGATGCGATAAGAAATAGAGCAGAAAAACTATGAATAATATGATAATTTATTAT